TTAACAGCCTCAGGAATAATTACATCCGTAAGATTTTTCATCTTTTCAGGAGTAATTTCTGCTTCCTTGGTGCACGGAACATTTTCCCCAAGGAAGTCCGGTCGGGTTTCACGTTTTTCTGCATCTCCCTTCTTACAATACTTTGATTCGCTCTGCAGATCCTTCATAGACACATTGATGCGGATGGTGTCCCAATCATCGTCTGTGGAAACTAAGTATGGCTGTATACTCTCCTCTCCTTGCTTGGGTACAATCTTTATAATGTTTTGTACACCCTTTTTGTACATCACGTCGTCGAAGCCGCAGTGGTGCACGTCTGGGGAGGTGGCGGTGGCATCGGCAAGAAAGCACACAGTGGCGGAGGAAAGCAACAATGCTGTGAGAAGTAAGAATGTCTGCTGCCAGCGGCTCATTTCGGTTTATAGTTTTGTGTTGGAATAGCTCAGAGAAAATCAGTGTATAGTCTTTTAAGTAAAAAAATAAAAGAAGTAGAATAGAAAAAGAAATATATTACAGACAATGCACACATCATAAGATTGACACCAATCAACATTCAAAAGTGAATGTGACTGCTCCCCAACCCACTGCAGTTATATTGCTTACAGAAAATAGTAATAAAAATAATAATAATAATAAACATATATAAAATGGTTTGGTATATGAAGAGCAAGGTATCCTTAAACGCACAAATACTTCTTTCCAATTAAAAGAACCCAAAAGAATGCGTAAAATAATGTTTCTGTATTATTGGATATGGGTAACGCACAAAAAAAAAAAAAAAAACCCCTCACCTAGTGACACAATATTTGAATCCTCAAATAGAATCAACTTTTATGTATATGTATATGTGTCGAAAGATTTGACTAAAAAAAAGGAAAGAAAAAAAAAAAACACTCTCCGTTGTCTAAAATAAAATTATCAATTTATGAATTCTCGGCGGAGATGAAAGCAAATAAAAAAAAAAAGAGTTTATACTTTAGTTCGCATTATATAATATAATGTTAAAAGAATTTCTTTATAGCATCCATTTTTTTAGCACCATTCAACAGATTCGAAACACTCGATTTTACAGAGGAGATATTCACAGTATCCTTTATGCGATCTTGTAATTGTTTCGCCATTCCCCCTACTGTATCTGCTTTTTTTGAAGCTTCTTCAAGAAGACTACTTGCTTCTTTATTTTTGGTGTTTATATCATTTTGTATATTTTTCATATACTGGTCCAGTTCGTTACCCTTATTTGTTTCCTTCTCCCGCACAGCATCTGCATACACCTTCTGCAGCAAAGAGACTTCCTCTTGTTTCTCCTTCGCGACATCAATCATTACCATTACAAGTGCCTCTCCCGCCTTCTTCGTTTCTTCTTGCAATTCTTTTTTAATATCTTCTGGATTACCTCCCGTAGCTGCTTTTACTGCCAGACCTGTTGCCATTTCGGTTGATTGTTTTTTCGTTTGCTCCACCCATTCTGTTACTTTCTTCTGTGCAATGACGACGGCCTCACTTGCGGCTTGACGTGATTTAATGGCTTCTTCCCACTTTGCCTTTGTGCTGTTGATGACCTTTGAGTCCTTTAGTTGCAGCTGTGTCTTTTCCGCCGCTGCTGTTACCTTCTTCGCTGCTTCAGACTTTGTGGCGTACTCGCGACGAGCATCCTCAGCAATTTTGCGAAGTTTGGCAATTTCAGCAATCGCTGACATGAGGTTATGTTTGGGTCTTCTTTTTCTTTTCTTTTTTGTTTGTGTTGTCTGTTGTGCTGATGCGGGTTATAAGCGGATTGATGGGAAAAGCAAGATAAGGGGGATACACTCACAAGATCAGGAATTTTCTAAATGAATGCATGTATGACTCTGTCTAGAGTTAGCGTCAAGGATTCACACACACTCATCGAATAAAGGTAAAAGTCTGTGTTGATATATATATATATATATTCGAAGAGAGAGAGAGATAGAGGGGGTGAGTGGGTTGGGGGGTTGTGGAGAAATACAGACAAAATTCGACAAATAATGTAAAATAAGGATAAAAGAACACAACAGAATTGAGAGAAATAATATATAAATACATATATATAAACACTGAAAAGATGTAGAAGAAATAAACCAAAGTGGAGAAGAAAAAGCGTTTTTTGGTGATTTGCTATTTACTTGCTCCTTTTTTTCCCCCTCACTGCTGAAAAAAAAAATCCAAAATTCATGTCTTGTTCTCTCCATAATCCTATATTTGGCTTTCATTTTTTTTTTTTTTTCATTTCTTTACTAGCCTGCATCACTACACACTCCCACTGTATCATTTTTTTTCTTCATCTTCCTTCTTCGTTTTCATCCTCTTCTTGTAACCATGACAACATCCACAACAAATAATAAAAATAACAGCAGGGGCATAAATGAAGGATAGATGCAACAGCCCTAGTTACCACAGTAAAAATGGCGGTTTTTACCACCTATTTCTCTTTCTCTTTCTGGAGTCTCCGGGGTATCCGGTGTGCAGCGCCAGAGTACATCCTCACTGGTGCTATTGCCATTGCAATCCTTCTCTACCGCTATATCGTCACTCTCTACATAAAATCCATTACCGGCAATATAACCATCATCGCCACGATACGCATTCCCCTCTGCATACACCAACAGCGACACCACCAACCGAGAACGTCTGTTGTACAGAAAGTAATGCTGCGAAAAGAGTGCGCGTGTTGTCATTGGATCGCAGCTTGGAGAGAGAAAACGAAAGTATTCACATCCCTGACTGGCGTCCTGCACCTGTTCACTCACAAGTGTCCAGAACTGATCTACCGCAGGCCGGCACGAATCCGGCAATGACTGCAGTGTCACATTGAGCTCCGCCCGTACTTGGGCCTCATCACATATCACAAAGTCCTTCTCTGTGAGAACAGAGAAATCATAACCGTCTTCACCGTAAATACTGTTTAATGCAGCCACGAGAAAGACAAGCCGCTCGTCAATATTCTCTGGCTGCACAGGTTCAAATTCAATGGGTGGAGTCTCCCCCAGCAGCAGCAGCGGCGGTTGTTCACAATGACAGTCCGGTGCGATGGGCGGTGTGTTGGCATTTGCATATTGTGCCATAGTGGCAGCCACCTGTTTGCGTTTGCGTGTACTGCGGCATGTGAAGGCCTCAAGGCGAATCGTCATTAGACAACCTTGTGCCTCTACTCCCTGTAGAAGAGAGTTCAGGAACTCAAAGCTCGCAAGTGGGACAAACTCCATCGTACCGTTTATAACAGTAGTAATCAGGAGTATTCAAGAAAAATAACAAAGAAAAGTAATAATGAAATGAAAATAATAATA